TAATAATAAAGAATATGGAATATGATCTGAAGAGATGGAGAGCTAGCCCATGCTTACTTAGCTGGACCAAATTAATCTTGTAATGATACCAATCCATCTTAAAGTAATTATAAATTCAATAAGAGCCCATTGAAATTCCAGCTGGACTTTTTTTTGAGGAACTTGATAAATTGATTTGAAAATTTGAAGGAATGTGCCGGCATAATAACGCATAAAACTAGAAACTAATTGCAGAGAATCATGAGATTCAATAGAGAATTCATAAAGGTATATAAATTATTTATATAAATGTATATATATTTATATTGATAAGTATTAATACCATTTACGTATATCGAATATCAATTATGTTTATATTGTAAATCCATAATTTTAGTATCTTATATTATTGTGACTATGTCATACATGAATTCACTCAATATAATATATATATTATATGAATCATATGAAATTAAGCATTTTTATTTAAAAATAGGACACTGTGAATAAAGTTAGCAGATGACAGAGTAGAAGAAGAAATTTATATTGAGTAGAATTAAACTGATAATATCTATAATTATACATTTAGAATATACAAAGAACTACTGCTAATCAGTAAGAAAAGAGGGCAATCTCAGTAGTGAAGTTGGCAAGGAAATGAACAGGCATTTTAGAGAAGAGAAACTCCACAAGGTAATATGCATATGAAGAGATGCTTAAATTTATTAGTATGAGTAATGTAAAATAAACCATAATGAACTATCACTACATGTACTAGATTGGCAAAAATTGGACAGCTGTCCAAAGCCAGGTTTGGTGATAAAATGGAAATATGTGACAGACGCCTCATGAACTTCTGGTGGAAGTCTTGAACAACAATCTGGTTATATTTAGTAAAATTAAATATATGCATAATCTTTGATCCAGTAATTTCCTACTTCTGGGCATATAGTCTCAAGGAAATTTTCACATGCCTCTGTAAAAGGATGCATGTATAAGAATGTTCATTGATGCTTTGTTTGTGGAGGAGGAAGTTGGAGACAATCTGGTTAAGTAAAATGCAGTGTTTGCACACCATAGAATACTTTGCAGATATTAGAATTAACATGGGGAATGTCTACAGAGCAACGTGGTTGGATCTTACAACACTGTGCTGACTTAAAAAAATAAGAAGAAGCATGATCATTGAACTGTCTCAAAAATCATGATGAGGTGAACCTAAAACTCCCACATTTAGTTTCTTTGGTGCTACTGGAAATAGTATGACCCTTGTCCATTTTTAACTGGATCGAGGTAAATAACAATGTCATTGTATTTTACATAATGAAATAACGGATCTAGTGATATAGCTAGCAGCTGTTACAAAGAAGACAGAAATACCACTGTAATATGATTTCTTAAATATTTAATAAGTTGGATCTTAGAGTGGGTCTGTATGCTCACTAATACAGGGTCAAAAACTAATGAATTATCTTCTTCATGAAGACAGGGAAGGTAAATGTGGAGGCAATGGCTTATTATGCTAAAAGCTCTTAAAATGGAGGCATTAAATATTTAAAAATTAAACGTTGAAAAACCTATTCTAAACTTTTTAGATATGGGTTCCTTGGCAAAAGAAATAAATAATTTGCTGCCTGCTCTTTGGTATAACACAATAAATATGATAATTACTTTATGGAACAAGTTAAATTATTTTAGATAAATTGCTTTGAATGATTGCATTTGTTTCCATTTTTAAATATGTAAAAATTATAAAAACATAAATCTACTTTGTCTTCTTAATCTGATGAACTGAACAAAATGAAATAAATACTTGAGCAATTTCAAAAAAAAAGAAGCAGAGTGAGTTCTATAATACAACCTCACTTACATGAATTAAAAATGTATACATGCGAAACAGTACATATTTTGTAAGAACAGGTACAAATGTCTACAAAGATCAATTTACATCAACCAGTGAAAACAGTTGCCTTGATTGGAACGATGGTGTGTGAGGAGGTGAGAAGGGATAGGAAGAAGAATAGGCATGGAAAACAGGGGGATGTGGACAAATGAATAAATGAACTATTGAACAAATGAGTGAATGAATGAATGAGAAAGGGGCCTTTCATGGATAAATGATGGTAAAGTGCCCAGGATCAAGAAGATGATTAAAGTCCAAAGGAAAAGAAAATTTAAAAGCCTAGCAGACAGCACAGAACGAACATTCAGTAAATATTTGTGAAGTGAAACAAGAAATGAAGTCTGTGGTGACTCTTTTCACAGGACTAAAATTCCCTTTGCAATACAAATCGGTGCTCTGTAATGAATTACCTTAGCAGTTTCGATTTCGGAATATCGGAATTCTTTATAAACGTGAGTGCTTCTGTATTTGGAGACATCTGGACCATGTAAACAGGATTCTTTTCTTTTCTTCCACTTCTTGAGATACTGCATGAACACGGCTGCCTCTTCTGAACTATGCCGTGCTGTTTGACTTTGATTCTGAGTCACAGAAAAGGTTTTCCCAGCAGATATTTGCTGTTTTGATCAAGTTTATTTCCAAAACACCTGCCCGTATGCGGTCATTGATACGCAGGGTCTTTGCTGGATCGCTGAGCTGGAATCTGCCCCTCGAGCTTTGAGGCCATCAGAGGTGGGAGGGTTTGTCCCTGGCCACGACGATGGGCTTGCCCACTGTACAAGATCTGATCTGTCAGAGCACCTCTAGGATTTTCCTCTTCTTCCCCTCCTTCCAGAGGACGGGGATTTATCCCAGGGGATATAATCATCTATGGATCTGCTCCAGGTTTTGACGATAGTGATCCTATTAATATACCACTACTCATAAACACAGCTGATATCTGGCTTTCTTTGATTTCAACTTAATGAATGTCTATTAGTGTAATATTATTGAGAGGTCCAGCCCTTGTCAGATGAACTTGGGTCTGACACCCAGCCTATCATCTAATAGCCTGGTGACATTAGGCAAATTAAATGTCCCAATCATTTGTTTCTCTGAACCATACAGATAGCAGTTTCCTCACAGAGTTGCTGTGGTGACTAGGTTAGATAATGTGTCTAAGGCTTCACATGGAGCCTGGTAGCACTGTAAGTAGTTATTATTATTACTTCATGGGAATCATCACGCTAGTCCTGTGGGGAGAGATAGTGAAGAAAAAGTTCTTAATTTCGCAGACTTGGAGAGAGTAAGGCAGGTCACCAAAGTACAGGGCGATGTGAGAGAGGACCCGCGGGGTCACGCATCCTCCTAAGAACCTGTGAGGCATTCAGAGAACCGCTTCTTCATTTCATAGACAAGGAAACTGAGACTAGGAGAGTTACCTGACTTACGTAAGGGGACACGGTGAGTATCATAGCCTTGACGGAAACCCCAGTCTCCTGTGACAGGGCCCGGCCTGAGGGATGTGCCACTGTGTCCCGTGGAAGCTTCTCAGTGAGGCCCATGGCCCTGTGGCACTGCTCCCTGCCAGGCCGGGCTGTGGTGCCGCCACCACACCATGGGGCCTGTCACCGCCATGAAATTCAGAGGCTTTGGGTGAGGGCTTAGAACCAGCCAGGAGACGAGGGCCTCCTCTGTCGTGTGAGTGAGTCATCTATGTGGGCAACACTTCTCCTCAAGACCTTCCCTCAGACCAATAAGATAGCAATTCATAACTTCATCAGCTGGATTTTTCGTGGGGGTGAGAATGCTCCAGCTCCTGTGTGAGGCACTCAGGGGAGAGACAAACCAAACCTCCTTGAGGAAACTACGGAGTCAGGCAACAATTTACGGGCATATAATGAACAGGGCTCCAAGAGCTGAGAAAAGAGGGACAAGTATTTTCTGGGCTAGGAGGTTTGGTGGGTCAGAACAATTTTTTTTTTCCCCCAAAAAAGGTGCAGTTTGAGCTGGATCTTGAAAAACGGAGAAGTGATTTTCGGGTGGGGAAGTTGGGAGAGGAACCTAGCAAGAGAGGCCGGCAAAGTCAAAGGCAGGGAACTGCACAGGTGTGCAGGGGTGCCCGGAAGGCCCTGGGGACCAGGGGTAGGAGGGCAGTGAGTAAAGAGGCTGGAAAGGAAGGCAAGCGCTTGATCCTGGGGGCCTTCCCTGCCTCTGGCTCTGCGGCCGAAGGGAGAAGGTGCAGGCTTCTATAAGCTGGACAATAGCATGGTCAGATCTGGAGCGTGCACGATTGCACTGAGGCAACATGGAGGGCAGAACGGCAAGGCCCAGACCTGCCCTGGACGTCCCTAGCCAGGTGGTCTTGCCCTTAAACTGATGTTCCTGGAGCCTGAGCGTGTGGGCGTAAGATGCACCATGGTGGTGGCTTCCAAACTGGGAAGGGGCCTGTAACTTAACATGCTCCACACTGCCAGGTGGTGACCCCATTACTTTTCCTTTGAGAAGCTTCCTGTTGTCAGGTGGCTGGGCGCTCGGAGAGAGGTCCTGCTCCCACTGCGCCTGCAAGCCCTCTCTGAGAGACGGGCTCCCGTGAAAGAGCCAGGCACCTTCTCCTTTCCTCCCCGAGTGAGCTGGCCTCTTCTGCCATGGGCCTATCAGTCCTCAAAACCAGTGTCCCCCATCCTGAAGCATGATTAAGGCTCGCCGTTTGGGTGGTGGCTGGGGGCAAGGGGAGGGACTGTTGTGTTTCAAAATGAAATAAACAGAAAAGCAATATTAAAAGAACCAGGGGGTTGTTTAGTGAGGCTTGAAGAGACGACAGGTGTTTCCTCTGTGTTGAGAACCAGTGACCCCTGGGACTCGCGTTTCCCGCTGAGCGGGGGCCCATGCCAGGCTGAGTCCTGCCGACGTCCCGGTGGTGTGGAAGCCTGAGTGGGCGCAGCAGAGGGGCTCTGGGGCTCATCATTGGTGTGGGGAGGTCCAAGGCTTGACATGAGGGGCCCCGCACGCAGGCACCCACACACGCCTTCACACCCACACTCGCAGGACGTCCTGCTGCAAGGCCCTGCGCCAGTGGCCGCGGCCGTCTGTGCCGTGTTGTTGTTTGGTCCCAGCTGGCTGGCTCCGTGCACGAAGCGCCTTGCAGCTGGTGGCCCTCTGCGGTGGCGGCGGCGCGCGTAGTGGGGTGACAGGCAGCCTGGCTGCAGACGAGCGCCCCGGGGGTGCCTGAGGTGGGAGGATGTGATGACGCGCCCCACGCAGCGGGAACTCGGGCCTTTAAAGAGCCCAGGAAACAGCCTCAGCACAAGCGGCGGCTCCTCTGGAGGAAAGCACACCCCAAACGCACATTAAAGAAGCCAAGCTGTCTGCTTCAAAGAGAAAAGGCAACATCCTGTCACAGGCCATGCTCTGGCAAAAACGTAAGTGGTTTGCCTGTGTGCTGTCAGAGCCAGGCGCGCACGGGCAGGGCCCGGGAGATGGCACCTGGCCTGGCACCGGGCGCTGGTGGCGCGGGGCGCGGGGACGGGGCGAGACGCAGCCCGGTGGAGAAAGCAACCTGTCGGGGTGATGCTGATTTTCCAGGCGGGAGGGGAGCGCACGAGTGTTCCAAGGTGGGACGGCTCATGGCAGCTCCGCTTGTGCGCGTGAATCACCGCGGGGAGGAAAGGGCAGCTGATGATTCACAGAGCACAAGCCAGATAAGGCAGGGGTTGGGGCGGGAGGGGAAAGCGGTGCCCCGCTCTGTACCCGAGGGCCTTTATTTTTGTGAGCAGCCACTCTGCAGCCTGTTGTTGGCTTTCCATGGGCCTGTGTCTGGCCGAGCGGCTTAGCTTCCCGCCAGAGCCAGGACTTGTTTCCGTGGATGGATCAGGACGAGGTGGAGACCCGGTTTGGGGGCAGCTTCTCGCTCTCTGGCCTGTTGTCACTCTTTTTCCCATTCTGTGGCAAGGCCTGTGCCTCCCACTGCGAGGGGGCAGTGGGTTTCTCTTTGACCTTGATTTTTCTCCCTGGAGTTGGGTGGAACGACTGTGAACTTTATTTTCCTTTACGTGGGCTGAACAGAGACTGTATTACTAACTGAATTCCTACAGAGATTATTTACAATGTTCCTTTCACGAGGTAAACAAAGTCGACTCAGGGGCCTCATGAGAGTTGAACCTAATTGGGCCTCAGTTCTAGACTTCCTCAAGCGAGAAGTATTACCAGAAAATTGCTGTTTCTTTTAGAGGGTCTTAGTTCTTTAAAATGCCTTTTAATTAATTCAGGTACACCCCACCTCAAGCCAGCTTAATATAAGAGCATCTCGATTTACGGAAAAAGATAAATTAGGGAGTGTTTTTATTTTACAAAAAGATATTCTATTGGATCCCGTAAAGTTCTGAAACTATAACTTCATTGATTAAAATGTGACTTATAGTCACTTTATCACTATTTCATCGTTTCCTTTATTTCTTATGTAAATTCTCTGGAATTGAGTTTGTCAGTGTGTAATATGGAAGAGTGATTTCCAAATTTCTTCGATTGTGAAGTCCCATGATTGTTTGATATCAGTAGATGCATTTGAAAAAAAATAAAAAGAAATGAATTTTAATTTGGGTTTGAGAGTTATAGACTCCTTCCAAGATAATTAGGAATGTTCTAGCATGGGTGGCATGCAACAACTCCTACCAGGTGGAGGATGGCAGCATAGAGCGATGGCAGCCAACCCCGTTATGAGTGCTATGTGGGTGAGGGCAGGTGGGAATTAATTTCTTTACTGGGAGCTCCTAAATATCCGCATGCCCTTTCACTTAGAGCTGGACCCTCCAAAACTCCTGGAGGGAGTTTTGCCTCAGCTCCTAACTTTTATGAGCAAATGGCTTTCCTTTTTTTTCAATCCTTAGGTTTCTTATATGTAAAATGGGGGTAAAAAATAATTCCCATCCCACAGATCTACGATGAGTGAGGTGCCACCAACATGACATGTTCATTGCTCCAGTTCTGCATCAGTGTCTGAGATACGGGTTGCTTCTCAGCATACCCAAGCTGCCATAGTCTCCTTTCTTGGTTATGCGCTCCATGTTTTTCTTCTCTGATGCCTCCTAAATGATCAGCAGTCTTTGTTAAAGGGGATGCTGGAGGGAATGCTTCCTGCTCACACCCTGGAGACCAGCCAGGTGCAGCAAAGCTCCATCGTAAGGGAGACCACCTTATAAGCTCATCCGTGAATAACTGGGGTGAATGCTTCCACGTGTTCAGAGGAACACAAACAAAAATGTTCTTTCATTGTGCTTTGGAACCTTAAGGGAAATTAGGAGAGGCGCGCTGGGCACTGGACCCATCCCCTTACCCTGGGCCCAAGTGTGTAGGACTGAGAGCACCTGGGTGACTAAGCCCTGTGGGAAAACTAGTAAAAACAGGGCAACATCAACAGCCCACTTAGAATCACCCGGTGGAAGGGCAGGGTTTGAAATCAGACACCAAGAGTGCTGAAAAGGCACTTTCTTTTTTCAGAAAACACCCTCGAGGCATGAGCTGAAATGACTGTACTATGGGGTTCTGGAAAGGGTTAAGAAAACATTCACTTGGTGAATGTTGCCTCCTCCCTACCTGGCCCATGCCCCTCATTTGTGGACTACATGTGAACATGGGCTTTTGGTTAAAATGAGAGAATAGCGTGACAGAGTTCAGAACTGCTGGCACAGAAGTGGAAATCTTCAGCCCTAACCATGGATTGGAGATTTGCTTGATGGGCCAATTGGATAAACAAATCGCTCCAGCTGCAGAATCTCTCCCTGGTGCTGCACTTGGTCCTGCAGTAGGCAGAAGAACTAACCTCCACCCCAGCTATTACGGTAACTGCAGTAGAACCAGCATGAGCACTGGAGTGAAAACAGGTCCGGTTTGAAAGTTGGCTCTGCAACTTAGTTATTTCATCTTTTCTCACTCTTAAAAATATGGAAAATGTGGATTCTAATGCCTGCCTCACAAGGTTTCCGTGAGAACTAAGTAGAGAATGTAGGTAAGGTGATATCAAGTTTCCTGACAAGCAGCAGTGGTGGTCAGTTACTACCATCCCTCCTAGTCACCTCCTGTCCATAACCCATCATGAGTGATCAGGGTTATGCAAAATTCCCTCGTGTACATCCTTTTCCACACTTTGATTAAAATAGTTGTAAATCCACCATCAAAATAGTCTTGGTTGAAAGAATACTGCAAAGTTTTACAGGGGCCTAAAACAGGGGTCTGTGAACTCTGGCCTATGGGCCATGTCAGGCCTGCTGCCTGTTTTTGTAAATAAAGTTTTATTGAAACACAGCCATGTCTGTTCATTTCTGTATTGCCTAGGGCTGCTTTTGGTATAACGGCAGAGTTGAGTGGTTGTGACAGACACTGTATGGCATAAAAAGCCTAAACTATTTACTACCTGGCCCATTATGGAAAATGTTTGCCAACCTCTGGTCTAAGATGATTCTCCTGGGTATTTAGGCATTCATTTCTTCAGATTACTCAGTATCCTGGGGTGACACAATGCCAACACCAATGGTAGATAACCCAGGCAGCCAATTCATGAAATAATTTGTACAATGGCCAAAATTGATTCAATTGAACTTATTCCTTAAACCAATGAAACTGTATAATAAAATCAACATTGTTTGAATAAATTGGACAATTGCTTTTTATTGTTGTTGTTTGTATTAGGGAAAGATCTACATGATAACGACAGGCAGGCTTGACTGATTTTCTTTGAATTGGCTGGTTGTCATGGTGTCCCATAGACTAGGTCTTGTTGTGCCTTTACTGTAGTGCTCAAGGAGGCATCTTAGGAAAAGGACATAGTTATCAAATTATCATGGCATGGACATGCCTTTACTTTTAGATAACTTGACCAGAGCAGAGGTTTAGCAAATGGAAAAATTAGGGTCTCATAATTCTCATTGACACAAAATTCTGCTCTTAGCATTTACTCTAGGGTTCTGCTAAATGGCCAACATTTTTTTTTAGGGCAGTTAAAGATAAGGAAAATGTATAAAATGTATTTAATTTTTGGAACTATATCTCCTGCATAAATTCAGGCACATTTATAACAAGAAATAATTTAGGTCTGTGGGCAACCTCTAATATTTCTATTTTGTGTTACAACCTTTGCTTATTGAATGAGCCTAATAAGTACCTTTCCTTCTTAGCAAGTTTATCCATTGATTCAGTGGTTCTTGCTGTTAAGGACAAGTTGAATCCTAAAGAGAGACAGGAATTTACATACACCTGTTAGAGGTGAAGTAAAGGACACACGTCTATCAAGCACACAGATTTAATTGGTAAAAGAGCAGATGATTTTCATGGTGGATAATTACTCCTTCTCCCTATTTTTACTAAAGAAAAATGCCAAATTTGTCCCCCTGTACACCCAAAAAGTTACTGAGTTGGACGTTCTGAAAGCTGTCTTCCAATTCGCACGTGCAAATCTGTTCTTTTGTGAGGAACAAAAAAGAACCGAGGTTGTCTACACGTGTTCATGAAATGTGTGGACGTTCCGTTCGTTCGCTAAGAAGTCCTGTCAATGTTTGCTTTTAACTTTCCCATTACAAAGTAAGTGCAGCAGGTTTCCCCCCCTGCTTTGACATCTTTCTGAAGTAGTTTATTTTTCCACTAAATGAAGCTGTCCGCCAATTTCTCATTCTAAGCCAACCAAACCAAAGTTGTCTAATTTATTGTGATCATTAAAATTTTACCTTTATGAAATACCTAGCAACACTGTAGTTTTCTAATTTTTGTAGAGCAACTGCTTGACAAGCGTGGGCCTGCCTGGGATGGAGAGGCCTTCTTTGAAACCCTCTTGTCCTGGTTGTGTGATGACGTGGAAAAGCATTGTCCTTGCAGGCAGGAGTCAAGGATTCTATTCTCCATTCTACAGATGATCAGGTGTGGGGCCTTCAGCAAGCCCCCTAACCACTTTGGGTCTCAAACGTTCAAGTCGTGAAATGGAATGTGCCTTTTCCTGGCTTAGGGCAAGGAGATCGAACTTGATTAAGATTCTTTTCCAGCTCTATTTACTGAGTTTTCCTGAGTACTTATGAAAAAATAAATGTTTTCAACCATGAGTCCTTAATTTAATAGAAGCGATTCTTGCATCTGCTTAGAGCAGTGCTTTTCAACCTTGGCTATACAATGAAATACTCTGGAGAGATTTAAGAAATACTGATGCCTGGATGCCAACCCAGACCTTCTGCTTAAATTGCCATGGGCACAGGAGTTTTCAAATGCTTCCCAGGCTATTCTAATATGCAGTCAAGGTCGAGAACTGCTGACCTAGAGGTTGAAACTGATGGCTTCCAGTATACTTTTGGACATTGCTACGAGAACATAGCACATGCTCAATTCTTTTAATAGCGATACATAACAGCTATGGGGTTTTAAGAACTTATTTGGTGCCGTGGAG